AGAAAGAAGAGACATACAAGCTCTAATTAAAAACTCTCAAAACAACGCCTCACATATCTCTCAAGGATATTCACAACTCTTCTTGGTTGTGCTATGATGATCTATTCTAATTTACTTGATGATAGAAAGACTCTCCAAACTCTCTATTTATAGCACCAAAACTAGGTACTACGAAGGTGGGAGGAAGGTGGGATTAAACATGAGGAAACTTTGAGGAAGCTCCCTTTGTCATTCTTGCACATGAATGAAGCTTCATGGTTGTTGATTGCACATGGAGGAAGCTTCATGGTTGTTGCAATTGGATTCTTCAATTTGCTTGTACTTGGATATGTCCTGGAAATTGAATTCTTCAATTCTCCCCTTCCAGGCATATTCAAAACAAGCATCCCGACTATGTCTCTGCATAGCTCTAGCTTATCTCGTGTCACCACCTTTGTCAGCATGTCTGATGGATTCTCCTTTGTATTGATCTTCACTAGTCTCAACAGTTGTTGATCAATCGTCTCCCGTATCCAATGATACTGAATATCAATATGCTTTGTACGAGAATGGTACATAGAGTTCTTGCTCAAGTCTAAAGCACTCTGACTGTCACAATGTACCTGGTACTCTTTCTGGTGGATCCCAAGTTCTTGGAGAAAGCGCTTTAACCACAACATTTCCTTACATGCTTCAGCGGCAGAAATGTATTCTGCTTCTGTTGTAGATAAAGCGACACACTTCTGCAATCTTGATTGCCAAGAAACAGCTCCCCCTGCAAAAGTGTAGATATATCCTGTAGTAGACTTTCTACTATCAATATCTCCGGCCATATCAGCATCTGTGTAGCCTTCCAAGTTTGGATCAGCTCCTCCGTAACAAAGACATAACTTCGTGGTACCTTTCAAGTATCTGAGAATCCATTTGACTGCCACCCAATGCTCCTTCCCAGGGTTAGAGAGAAAACGACTTACTGTACCCACTGCTTGTGCGATGTCTGGCCTTGTGCATACCATGGCGTACATCAAACTCCCAACTGCCGAAGAATATGGAACTGCTAACATCTCCCCGATCTCTTCCTTGGATGTAGGGCATGTTCTTTTGCTCAACTTGAAGTGATTCGCAAGTGGAACACTAACTGGTTTGGCATCATTCATGTTGAATCTCTCAAGTACTCGTTCAATGTACTTCTCTTGAGAAAGCCATAACTTGCGATTCTTCCTGTCTCGAGTGATCTGCATCCCAAGAATCTGTTGAGCCGGTCCTAAGTCTTTCATATCAAAAGACTTAGAGAGTTCTTTCTTCAGCTGGTTTATCATCACTGCATCTATCCCAACGATCAACATGTCGTCTACATATAGTAGAAGAGCAATGAAAGTACCGTCTGGGAGTTTCTTGATGTATGCACACTCATCTGCAGTAGTCTTCTTGTAGCCTTGACTCTTCATGCATGAGTCAAACTTCTTATTCCACTGCCTTGGTGCCTGCTTCAAGCCATACAAACTTTTAGATAACTTACACACAAAGTTATCATTTGAGCTCTCAAAAACCTTCCGGCTGCTGCATATAGATTTCTTCTTTCAAATCTCCGTGAAGAAATGTTGTCTTCACATCCATCTGTTCAAGCTCCAAGTTCATACTTGCTGTCAAGCCAAGTATAACTCGGATTGAGGTCATCTTGACAGCTGGTGCAAAGATCTCATCAAAGTCAATTCCTTTCTTCTGTTGGAATCCTTTGACAACCAACCGAGCTTTGTGTTTCACCACTTGTCCGCTTGCATCCTTCTTCAGCTTGAACACCCACTTGTTCCTCAGTGCCTTCTTCCCTTTAGGAAGTTCTACAATCTCATAAGTTTGATTTTTCTGCAGAGATTCTAACTCACCCTGCATTGTTATTAGCCATTTTTCTTTATCCTTATGAGACACAGCTTCTTGAAAACTCTCCGGTTCTCCATCTTCAGTTAACAAAAGATATTCAGATGATGTGTACCTTTTTGATGGTATATGGCCTCGTTCAGATCTACGAACAGTTGGAACCATCTCAGAAGAGCTACCATCATCTGTGCCTGGCGAGGTGGGTTGTGACTCCCCTTGCTCTGTACTCTCTTCTGTCTCCTCATCCTCTTCTGCTTCTGAGTTGTTTTCATGCACTTCGTCATTGTTTCTCAAGAACAATTCAGGTGCTTCATTTGAAACTTGAACACCCTCATATGACTTCCGAGACATTGTGGATTTTTCAATGTCTTCTATTGTCAAATCTTCATGGAACACAACGTCCCTGCTTCTGAACACCTTTTTCTCCTTAGGATCCCATAACCTGTATCCAAACTCTTCATTTCCATAGCCAACGAAAATGCATGGGATAGTTCTTGCATCGAGCTTCTGTCTGAGCTCTTTGGATACACGTGCATATGATGAACAACCAAAAACTCTAAGATGTGAGTATGTAGGATCCTTACCTGTCCATAGCCTCTCTGGACCTTCAAAGTTCAGTGGTACTGAAGGTGATCGGTTGATAAGATAGCATGCGGTGTTGACTGCTTCTCCCCAAAATGACTTTGGAAGTTTAGCCACATTTAGCACGCTCCGGACACGCTCCATGATAGTCCGGTTCATTCTTTCAGCAACACCGTTGTGCTGAGGGGTGCGTGGTACTGACTTCTCATGTCGAATGCCATATTCTCTGCAATATGCATCGAACGCCTAGGATGTATATTCGCCTCCATTATCAGATCGGAGACATTTCAACTTCTTTCCTGTTTCACGTTCCACCAAGACGTGAAATGTCTTGAAGCTCTCAAAGACCCGATCCTTCGTCGTCAGGAAATACACCCACACTTTCCGGGAAGCATCATCGATAAAAGTCAGAAAATATCTGCTTCCACCGATTGATTCTACCTCGAAAGGACCACAGACATCGGAGTGTACCAAACTTAACAACTCCGTTCTTTTAGTTGAAGTAGAACTAAATGATACTCTATGTTGCTTACCAAATAGACAATGACTGCAAGGACCCGGTGCAGAATTCTTGTCAATGTTGATAAGGTTCTTCTTCATCAAGGTAGTCAACCCTTTCTCACCGATGTGGCCGAGCCTCAGGTGCCACAGATTCTGAGAAGTCTCCTCTGCAATGTTGAGGCTATCCATACAAATCCTCAAATGGGTTTTGTACAATGTGCCACAAACATGTCCTCGAGTGATTGTCAAAACGCCCTTTGACATTTTCCAGGTGCCCCTGTTAAAGTGGTTGTCATACCCCTGTTCGTCAAGACATACCACAGATAGGAGATTGAGCCAAAGGTCTGGGACATGTCTGACATCCTTCAAAGTGATTGTGCTCCCAGTACTCGTCTTTATTTGTACATCACCAATTCCAGCTATTCCAGAGGAACTGGAATTGCCCATCTTTACTGCTCCAAAGTCTCCAGCTTTGTAAGTTGTGAAGTAGTACTTGTGGGGAGTAACATGGTAGGATGTTGCAGTATCTACCACCCATTCAATGTCCTCTCTTGAGACATGCAGGCACGTTTCATCATTGCTAGTACAATACGCCACATCACCTGAGATTGTGATGAGCGCTTCACCACCCTTGTTCTTCGCTTGAGAATTGCTCTTGCCTCGCTCCTCTAGCAATTTGTAGCAATTCTTCTTCATGTGACCATCTATACCGCAATGGTGGCAGGTATAAGAAGGTTTCCGGCCATCTGATGATCTCCCCCGACTTTTGCCTCTGCTTTGCCACTTTCCTCTACTATTTCTTTGTTGCTTTCCTTGTGATCTTCCTCGATTCTCCGTCACAAGAGCATGAGTCTGATCTGTGGTCATGTCTTTCCTCCTTGCCTCCTCATTGAACAATGCATCCTTGACCACAGACATGGTAAGTTTGCCATCTGGGGCTGAGTTGCTGAGAGTAACAACTAGTGTCTCCCAACTATCAGGAAGGGAACTAAGAAGTAGTAGAGATTGCATTTCATCTCCAAGTGGCATTTCTACACAAGATAGTTGATTTACCAGACTCTGAAACTGACTAGTATGTTCGGCAACAGAAGTTCCACTTTTGAGCTTCATATTGACAAGACGCCTCATCAGTAGGGCCTTATTCCTGGCGGTCTTGGCCTGGTACATATCTTCTAGCTTCTTCCAAAGGGCATAAGCGTCGGTTTCTTGTGCAACGTGGTGGAAGACACTATGATCAATCCATTGACGGATTTGACCAATAGTTTTTCTATTTATTTTCTTCCACTATATTGATTTGGGTGGGTCAGGATTAATACCTTTCATCTCTATTGGATCAAAAAGGTCTTTACAGCTAAGGAAATCTTCCATCCGAGGTTTCCATAGCTTGTAGTTGGTAGCCGTGAGCATAATCATAGCTCCGGAAGATGAAGTTGACTCGTCAAAGGTCATTTTCACCTTCTAAATAATTTTAATATTCTGTTTGAGAAAAATCGGAGCAGAATTTTGAAAAACGGGCAGCACCGTTGCGTCCGGAACGGCCAAAAATGGTGGGTAGACACTTTCGGGGTCAAAATACAATTTTCGAAAAATTATAGGTGGAAATTATAATTTTCCAAAAAATGAGGGACCTAACTGCAATTTTTCAAAATTTAAAAACTGACCGGTGATGTGGCAGATGACGTGGCGCTAACTGGGCGTTGACGTGGCAGCTGACTGGGCGCTGGTGGAAGATGGCAGTGAGCTGATGATGTGGCGGATGTGCACTCGTGGCGCTGATGTGTCGCTGACACAGCTCTGACTGGCTGATGACGTCAGCGATGACGTCAGCTGTCTTCAACCTCTGGCCTGCGTGCAGAATGACGTTAGGGATGACGTCAGCGAGCTCCTCACCACCGGCGCGTAGGCGGCGCGTGTGGTGGCTTTCGGTGGCCTAAAAATACCAGTTTTTCTCGTCTCGACGAGACGAATCTAACGGTGTATTCAGATTGCAATTCCGAGCAAAACTGAAAAACACGAATTTTCAGACAGTAGAATTTTATCAGAAAATTCTGGGGAAAATATACCAAAAGCTCAACCAGACTCTGATACCACTTGTTGGGAATAACAGGATCGTGCTAATATGAGAGAAAAACACTTCTATTACTTTCAAGAATAGAAAGAAGAGACATACAAGCTCTAATTAAAAACTCTCAAAACAACACCTCACATATCTCTCAAGGATATTCACAACTCTTCTTGGTTGTGCTATGATGATCTATTCTAATTTACTTGACGATAGAAAGACTCTCCAAACTCTCTATTTATAGCATCAAAACTAGGTACTATGAAGGTGGGAGGAAGGTGGGATTAAACATGAGGAAACTTTGAGGAAGTTCCATTTGTCATTCTTGCACATGGATGAAGCTTCATAGTTGTTGCTTGCACATAGAGGAAGCTTCATGGTTGTTGCAATTGAATTCTTCACCGGCCAGTCGGACAAGAAATCTGGTCACGCTCCGCAATGCTGTGACGATGGGATCCGCATTGGGGGTCGTGAAGATGGTGACGAATTAAATAGAGGACGGTGAGAACAACACTGAAGGGGGAAGGAGCACCAGACTTCGGCGCATCTACAAGTGGAGATCGGTGGGGCGGCGGAAGTTCAGTCCGGCCTCCGGCAGACCTGCCGGTTCTGTCTTTGGGGCGTCTTTTGAGGATGAAATAAAACAAAAATATAATATTAAAAAAAATCTCTCTTGCAATCACCGGAGAAGATAGAACCAGTAGCTGACCAGATCTCGGCATCATCCAACACAAACTTCTCCCCGGAACCATTGAAGGCCCCCCTGTCCGACGGCTGTGAAGGTCGAACCAACCTCTCCACTCCGGCAGCAACGATGCGAAGTCTTCTTTGATCTCCGGTAGCAAGGATGCAACTGATTCTGGAGCTGGTTGGAAAGTAAAGTAGCCATAGAAGAAAGGGTAACCGGATCCTGCGAGGAAGAAGATGATAGGAAACAAAGTAAAGAAGACAGAGTTGGGGCCAAAAATAAATAACAGGAGGAGGTGGGCCGAGAAAAATGGGAAAGAGAAGGAAAAGGAAAGAGTAAAAAAAATAAAAAAATAAAGGAGGGGTGCTTCGTGTTGGAATTTTGAGTATTTCAAATAAACATAATTAACTTTAAATAGTTTTATATTTAATTAATGTTTTGAACAAATAATTAAGTCCGGTAAGAATCATTTTGAGTTGAACGAGTAACATGGAACGTGCATAAGGGAGTGATCACCTAGCATTCTCCAACAACTTCAATTTGATTTTATCAACTAAGCAAACCACGTACTATTATTTAAGTAGTATATGAGATGCTAGTGCTTCACAATATACAACACATTTTACATGGCTAAAAGATTTTACTCACCTTTATATGAGAGCACTACTCACGTAAAACTACTTCTGCCAATCATCATACTACATACTACATAGCATATGTTCTAATATATTTAAACCGCTGTTGGGTTACGTAAATTCAATATATCCTCGTAGATTCTATGTCCGGAAAACTCGTCGAATGGCTCGTTATATCTTGGGGGGAGATTTCCGGCCACCGGAAATACTTTCTTTAGGACAACGTTTGACGCGTCTCGAGCCGTGTTATTTTTCTAATATTGTTTTGCAAGTTCCGACGACGAATATATCCAACACTTCTACGATGCATTCCTTGATTTTATGTGTTTTGGTACACATCTTCTTTAACCAATCATATTACTCTGTATATATAACGGCCACTTCAATAATATACTCTTAACTAAGCATAGTAATTTTCCATATTTGCATTTTAGTCCTTCATTCGGTTAGAAAAGCAACGAAGAACGAACAATATTCTCAATATAATTAGTTGCTTGAGAAATTTCAATTCTGGTTAAACCAACTCAAAGCGCGGACCAAGCAGTTGGAGGAACCTTGTTCTCATAATCGTTCTTCTTTCATATTCTGTTTTCCTCCATGTTTACAGTTTTTTTGAACTTTACTGTATCATACTCCGTACTACGTATATGAGTGTTTAGGACTGATCACCGGTCCAAGACCGGAACAAATCAGACCAAAACCGGTTTGACCAAATCCACAATTCTCAAAAACAAATTAAAGGACGAAGACCGGACATGTTTTCATGAAATTGTGGACAAAAATGTGAATATAAGTTACTATTAGTAGATTTTATAGTTACTATGATGTAACATTTGAATATAATTAGAGTCACTATAGTTATTAGGGTCACATATTTATCCACAACTTTTATTTTGATTATATCAAATGAATTATTTCTTTATTTAAACATCAACTTTTATTGAATAAATATTTGAATAAAACTAAATCTATTTAGTTATTAACATTTGTTACATACTAGAAAAAAATTATTTAGAAATGACAATGAGTAACTAATTACGGTCCAACCAGTCCAAACCTAAATTTTTCGGGTTTGGACTGGACCGGAACTCGAAACTTCAAAAATGCTAGACCGAAGACCGGACTGGTACGGAACCGGTTTGAGTCTGGTCTGGACTAACTGGTTTGGCTCGGTCCGGTTTTTTGGTACGGAACCATTATTGACGGAAGGTCACTAAAGTTGGGATTATTCTGATATAATCGATAGTTGGGATTATTAAAAGCGGACCGCCAATAGTTGGGATTATTACAATCAATTTTTCCTAATTTAAATAAAATTGAGATTTGGGGTAGTTGGGGCTTAGGTCGCCCTATAGCTACACGTCTCGCTCCTAGGATGTTTTTAATTGGACGATTTTGAGTTCTAGACCAGACTAGACCAAAGTAGATCAGAACAGATCATACAAGATTTGGACAAATATAAAATACACAAGGACCAAACATTTATCAGACCAAACCAGATCAAATCACAAAATTCCAATTCAAGTAAAAATATCCTAACAAAGTAGAACTGTGGTTTCAAAATGTAAATAATTGAAATTACGTACTTTACTAAAACGCAAACAATTTTACTAATAGGAAGTAGTCACGGATAAGGACATGAATGAGTCGCTATACCTAGGGAGCGGTGCAGGGTGAGCATCATGCTCCCACAATTATATGAAATGTAAATTGTGTGAATAAACATGTAACTTCAGGTTAATCAAAATGTAAATTACACTCATTTAAATGTAACTCATTGAAACGTAAATTGCTTTGATTCAAATGTAACTTGGGAACAAGTCAAATGTAACTTGTGAAATGTAACTTTAGTCTATTCGAATGTAACTTGGGAACAAGTAGATGTAACTTGTGAAATCAACATCTAGGAGAATGGAAAAATTCAGAATATTCCAAATTTGAATAATACGCAGCCCTATAGATATATGCTAAATCAAATCAAAAAATTGCTTTCAATTTTAAAAGGGTTATGCATAAATCTTCGTGGAACAAAATATTTATTCATCTCCTCCCTTCCTTGAGAGGTTGAAATCTCAAAATTTCATTCGTTCATTAACAGAGAAAGAAAAAAGGAGAAGATCCGAAGGAGGAAGTGGAAGAGGAGAATGAGAAGAAAGAAGAACAAAGCTTACTTGTACTGCCGCCCGTAGGTGGTCGGAGATGGGGAATTGTTCTGGAGATGGCGATGGATGCTATTATTTTTAATCAATAAAGCGACGTCGTTTGGGATCGGCACACCTTGTGCACGGTGGGCCGATCCCAGGGTATAAATTGCGGACATGAATCACATGACGTGGCAAAATACTACGATAGGATTGGGTTAAAAAGGTGGGCACGGTGCATTCAAAATTTACGCATGTACGGTAGAATTTTCCATAAAGAAAAGGGTCAAAATGACATATGGAATGCCACATCACCACACTTACTTCGGGAACCTAATTGACTTTTTCATATACTTTGAGGATCAAGGGGTGCTTGGAACTGATTCTGCTTCTACTTTTTTAAAGCACAAGCAGAATCAGAATCAGTTTTCAGAAGTTGGTCACCCCAGCTTCTAAAAAATCTAATTCTAAGAGTAAATTAGAGCATCAGAATCACTTTTACACTTTCACCCAATCCCTCCAACTTATGCTTCTACTCCCTGAAGGAGCAGAAGCATTTTTAAGAATCAGATCCAAACACCCCTAATTTGACAATTTTTCCTACTTAATAACATGGACAAACAGGAAGAAAAAGTAGAACGTGAAGGAGATTTGAAGGAAAATAAAAGTATAAAAGTCAAAGATGAAATTATTTGATAGAAATGAGGATATAATTGTCAAACATCAAGGTCACAAGCTCAAAACTCACTTCAATCAAAGATGTTACACATTTAACGGAACGTTACTATAAAAAATTGATGATATAATTGCAATCAATATAGTAATGGATAAATTACAAATAAATAAACTTAATTGATTAATATGATAGTAATATCTCTAAGTGACGTGTCGACACTCTATTGGTCCATATGGACAATGCACAAAAACTGCAAAACATGACAAACAGTTAGGGTCTGTTTACTAATAGAGATATTTTCCTATTTTCTACTTCTGTTTTTCGTTCTCCAATTTTCTGTTTTTATTTTTCATTTTTTCTATCTCCAGTTTTCTGTTTCTATTTTCTAGTTTTCCATTTTCAAATATGAAAACGTGTTCATCAATTTTTTCACCCAGTTCTTTGATCATCTAGAAAACTGACACGTTCACTTCACGGGTTACTAAATGGTGCTTATTAAGACTCATGTTAATAAGCGGCGCATAAAATAAGCAATGTTATAAAATCATGTTTACTTCAAAAGGTTTAAAACACCGTTCAACATTAAAATGTTCAAAATAACCCTATACATATATACACACACAAACATTCATGAACACAAATATATAAAATAATATGTGGGGTCGATCACCTCGTACGTGTACCCATACTCCTAACCCCTACCATGCCCCTATACATCGCACGTCCACCCTACACCCTACACCCAATTCCATACCCTTGACCCCTAGTCCTACCCTTACCACGATCTTACACTCTACCCATACTCCCCTAAAACCCTTCATACCCACCCATACCTACTCGTAGGGGTCGGGGTAGGGAAGGAAGGTATGGGTGGGAGTGGGTGGGGGTGTGGTGGTAAGGTCTAGGGGTACGAGGTTGGGTGGGGTAATGGGTGGGTTAGGGTGGTGGTTAGGGGTAAGGGTGGGGGTAGTGAGTAGGGTTGGGGGTTGGGGTAAGGTAGGGGTAGGATAGGGAGTTGGGATAGAATGGCAGAGCGAGATCAGGGTGGGGGTAGGATGGCGGTAGGATGGGGTCGAGGTAGGGGGCATGTGGGAAGGGGTAAGGTAGGGGTAATGGGTAATATACGAGGTTGGGGTAGGGTTAGGGGTGGGTCGGGGTTGGGTTTAGGTGGTAGGGTAGGGTGAATCGGGGTGGGACCGAGGTAAGGGCATGTGGTAAGGGGTGGGGTAGGGTCATTGTAGGGAAAATGGGTATGTAGAGTGGGGGTAGGGTGGGTAGGGTAGGGTAGGGGTAAGGTACGAGGATAGAGGTACTATAATGGAATCGACATCGGAGCAGGACCGGACCCCTCACTACGTGTAAGTATGCAAAATCATTGCAGCGATCTGTAACATCTACGTTTTCCAAATTTGGAAAACTAGTAAAAGTCAATCCTCCAAATCATTAAGGAAAAGAGAGACATGTCTCATTTTTTTCGTTTTGGAAAATGATTTGGTAAACACATTTTTCTGTTTTCCTTTCTCGAGTTTTCCAGCAATTTTCTTTGGTAAACACGTTTCCTGTTTTCTGTTTTCTAGTTTTCAAGTTTTCTGGAAAACTGGAAAATATCTCTGTTAGATATTGGTGATGTTTGGTTAAGAGTCTATCAGTCATTTTTTGGCTTATTTGACTAATAAGGTGTTTGGATAATTGGCTTTTTATCACAAAAAGCCAAAAATCCAAAATATGAAAAGCTACGAATTGTAGCGTTTTACAAATGGCCGTTTCTTATCTTTGGTGTATTCCTTAAATACCCACGTGAGTAGGTGAGCACGTCCCCTTTTTTCCTCTGTTCCACACGCCTAATTAACTTGTTGGCGAAGAGAAAAACTGCAACAAAGAGAGCATGCATGTATGTAATAAAACACAGAGCATTGTATTCTTTTAAGCTACGTGGTATTTCTTTAATTTAGTGGTGTGACTTGTGACAAGGACAGTCCATTTAATTTGAAGAAGATTCATGAGCATCTACGTACATTTTTATGTTATAATAATAGTAATAATAATAATAATAACAATAATATGGAGTAGTAATAATAATACAAACGGTTTGGAAAGTTATATTATTAATTACATTAACTAAGATTTAATTAATGTCCTTAATAGTCATTTAACAAGTTATCAGCTGATTATAAACAATCGTTTAACCAAACACCATTTTACAAACTGCTAATACACTCAACTAATCAAAACAGGCAACAAAATCCGATGTTATTAATCAACTAGGGATGGACCCGGGCCGGTCCGGTTCCGGTTCCGAGCCGGGCTCGGGCGGGCTTTTTTGGCAAATACTTGGGCCCGGAACCGGCCCGGGTTGATACCGGGTCCGGGCCTAACCGGGCTGGGCCGGGCCCGGTTCAATGTCTATTTTTTTTTTTTGCTTTCTTGTTATCCCCCGACCCCCCCCCCCCCCACCCCCAAACCTCCCTAAAACACCCAGCCCTACCCTAGGAAAAGAAAAACAAATGAAAAAACAAAAAAAAATATGACCCGGGCCGGTTCACCCAAAACTGGGCCCGAGCCCGGCCCACCCGACTCACCCAAACGGGCTAAAAGCCCGGAACCGGCCAACCGGTCCCGGTCCGCACAGTAGCGGTTCCGGGCCAGTTCCGGCCCGGCCCGGCTTAGTTCATCCCTATAATCAGCCAACAGAATCGGCTAACGGCTAACAACGAACAGTCAATTGCCAAACACCCCATTATGTCTAATAACAATAATAAATGGAGTCATGCGTGTTGAGAAATGAGAACGTGTGTTCTCATGACATCAACTTCCAAAAGCATCATTTTTATTTTTAATGCATAGTGCATTCTCAAATCTCAATTGAGGAATCAACGCGAATTGTTAAGGACATTTAATGCACAACATATTTCCCATCCCAATTAGAGCGGTTCCGGTCCGGGTGAATTACCCTCCCAGCTCCACCCTTTCATATCCAAACCGCCACCCACTAGTGCTTATAACATAACACCCACATACATCTATCTACAGACACACAGTTGGCATTTCTTCCAAGTTCCAATGCATTGAAGAAGATGCACAAACAACTTGAATGTGTCAAATTTGTGAAAGTTGAAGGATCAATGGCCAGGCTTAAGGAATGAGAATGACAGACTATAAGGACAACGGGCCAGCGCTAGTGATACTCATACAGTCTATTTGATGCAAAACCCTTTTCACCCATTTGTTGCATGTCAGGCAAGACTATCTTGGTGAAAATTTAACAGTTAGCATTTTGCCAAAAGAAAACCAACCACAAATGGAGCTCAACTGCTCAAGAATGAGATCAGATTCTAGGGTTCCAATAACCGAATTCCATTATATTGTCGTCATCCGATCACAAACTGAAAACTCTCACTGTGAAGCCACTAAGGAATGTGTAACTTAATCAAGCTGATTCAGATCAATTTCATCCAAAATGTCTGCACAAACCTCTGTGTTTTCATCCAACTTCTCATCCAACTCAGAATAACCTTCAGTATCCGATTCCATTGCCTCAGGGTCGCCATAGTTACTAGTGTCCTTTACTCTTATTTTCATCCTTTTCCCCCTAATATAGCGATATTTCCACTTTTGTGGAGGGTATTTATTCTTCAACTTTCTATACTTGTCCAACATATTTAACTCTTCAAATACATCTCCCACCATTTTGACAATGCTAACGCTTGGCCGGACATTGAGTTCTTCCATGTCAGCAAAAACCTGTAGATGGAGAAAATGTCTTACATTATGCCAACACCATTTTAATGCCTACTAATTTTTTCCGGATGAGATGCTCATCCCCACAACTGAGTATGTGTAAAGTCATGTGACGTAAACAATAGCATCCATCATCATCATTACCCCAGTGCCGCAAAGGCTCCCACCTAGTGGGGTAAGGGGGGTTGGATGTACGCAAAAAATGATCTCACGGTGGAATTATGTAATTATATTCATTAATATAAATTTATTTTTACAACTTTGGCTTTTTAAGATATATGATTGTTCAAAAAAGATCAATGATTGTTCAACATTAAGTCGTTAAGTAATATGATGGATGGGCCAAAAGCAATAAAAGATTAGAGCAAATAAACTGTATATGGGTCTATCATAAGTGGCAAGTGATAATGCCACCAGAGCTGTGAACTAAGAATACGTGCAAATGGTGCAATGTGTGATTATCTTCGGGCATATTAAAAAGTTAACATGTAACACACTTACACACCATTTTAAAAAATCAGCTGATGAAGGGAAACTACCTCAAACATCTGTCCATGCATTTTATTCTGGTAGTATATAGAGATCATTTTCTCAAAGAAAATGCGAGGAAGACTTTCGAGGTTCTCTGAAAGCAACTTATTCCAAAGCTCTTCAGCCTCTTCAAGCCTCCCGTCTTCAGCCAAAGCATTCATCAAAGAATAATAGCTACCCATTGTTCTCCCCTGACCCTTGCTTAGCATCCACTTTGTCATCTAATACCCAGTGTAGTGTTAGAGTGATTTATTTACAGTTCAAAACACGTGAAATGTTGGGAATAATGATATCTGAGAGATATACCATACTTGTATTATTCTTTTCCACTCCTTTTCACGCTCAAGGATCTTAAGAGCTTTTTTCACAGTGACCAATGGGAACTCCAATTCCCAGGCAACAAACGCATCAAGACTACCATAGACTTCTTCCTTAACATTTGATAATCCCTTTATCTATTGTAAAATAAAATTGTTCAAAACTAATAACAAAGAGAATGTAGAGCAAAGAGTATCCAAGATGCCATTTTTACTTATGAAAAGAACCTTCCGGGCATGAATCGCACGGTGGTGGGGAATAAACTTACCGACTCTACAAGTTTGAGCGATTTAGAAATGGTCCCTATTCTCCTCTTACTCTTCCACACACGAGGGCACCTGGAACGAGGGTCTTTTGCAGCACAAACCTAAGAAAACATAAGCCAATGGTCAAGTAAACTTCAAGAGTAAGCTAGCTGCAAAGATAGTTTCTTAAGGGTACTCAACATCTAATAGAAGCAGATGAATAACAAGTCAAAAGAATACTTTTAAAGATGCTTCCCATTGGTTCTAGGAAACACAATTTAGAAATGAGGACAAGGAACTTGTTTCTCATGAAGTGAAGAATACACTAACTTATATCGGAGTTTGGAGGGTACTTCAACTTGTCTTCATGGTATCGTTATAGTACTTCCATCAACCATAGAGAGATAATCTAGGAGGAAAATGATTTTATAATGTGGTAATCTTTAGTTTAAATTAATTGAAAATTCTAAAAAAGTTAAAAAAAAATGAGATGTTTGATAAAATTATTTGTTAACTCGGCTAATATATTTGTATAGTAAATGGTATATATTTAATTAATAGGTATATTCTAAATTTTATTTAATGTTAGTAATTTCCCAGTTGAAAATATGTTGAAATGCTATGAAATTAAAAATCAAATAATGTTTAGTAGTCGAATAAACTAGTACACTCTTATCGTAAATGTTAGACTTGAATTTATAGGGACCTTGACAATGTTCATTTAATTTAGTTTTAAGGTAAAATGTGATTTTAGTACACATCCAAATTGACTTTGGGTGTAAAACTACACCATAATTCACAAGGTATATATGAAAAATACATGCTCCAAATGATGCTTCGGGCCGCGAGAGGTGTACCCTTATGAGAGAGAATATATATGAACTGAAAAATCTAAGGAAGTGTCTTGTCGTGATGAGGTGTTTAAAGGATTGTCCGGTACCGATTAAATATGTCATAACAAAAAAAAACTTGAAAAGGTTAAGATATTGAACCACTATTCCTATTATCATGTTAATATTTAGGAAATAACTCCAAGTCTTAATCTTTGCATGTGAAAAAGTTGGAAAGTGAAAAGTAGAGGAGAGAAAGATAAGCACATTAGCTAAGAATAACCAGCAATTACTGTTGGAGTAAACTTTTTGGCCAAGAGAGTATAAGCACCACACTAAAAACCCTAGAAGTCAAGAGAAAATAGCAATTACCTTCATTTTAATTTCTGTGAATGATTAGTAAACTACAACCAAGGCATCGAACACAAGAATAACTTAAGTTTAAAAATGGAAGGAAAAAGGTGAATGCTTACAATGGTGGTTCCAATATATTTCTCCAATAATTTAGTAGGTTCCGGTCTTCCAGTGAATATTGCAATAAAGCATCTCAAGGCAAGCATCCTGAGAATAAATAACCAAGAATGGTATGAAGCACCTGGGAAAATATGTCTCACGCATTTCATTGAACGACTGAAACACTAACTCCCAATGAAAGAAACCAATCACTTATCTCGTTGATCTAAATTAAAGCACATTACCAATACCTAAGAATAAACTTTTTACCAGAAAGAATTTCAGTTCTTAAGAATCCATTATGAATAAAAATTAAACAGATTTTTTTCTTAGAATATTTACAGTTAAAAGGAGCGCCTTGCCTGGTTGAAATTGGGTCAGCTAATTAAGCGTTCCAGTGGAGGAGAACACAGTGAGCGATGGATATTTCTGTGTGTAAAGTGAATAGAAAAATGGTTCTAAGTAGGAGTAAACTATAATAATATACTTACATAGGAGTTGAATGATTTTAATACCTAGTAGGAGTATAGTTTTCCGTCCGTCCCAGATTTACCCTGGTTCATTTAGAATATTGTCCTGCTTCAATTTGGGTGTGCTCTTACGGCCGCCTCCACTTTTCCCTTGCTAGCTCTTCCTTCGTCGGTTCGAAGCTTCACCAGAGGGACGCCACCATGGGGGGAGCTGGAGACAGAGACAGATGGCCTGCAGGTTCGACCTGGAGCCTGCCGCTGCAAGTGGTGAAGGTCACTGGCTCAATAGAGATGCCTCCAGCGGTGAAGAAGGACTGGAATTAGTGATCATGGCCAATTCGAACATGTAATATCGCCCAGATTCAATTCGAAACTATCAAATCAGTAAAGCCTGCGAAAACCCAAAATCAAACAACTTCAATTTAGGAAGTTTTGGAGCGAGTATCAATGACTTAAAGCATTTTAATTCCATAGATTTGAATGTTACTGTTGTACACGATGCACACGTGGCATGAAAGAGATACACACAAAAGATTAAATTTATGACATTTCTCTCTCCTTCTTTTCACGCTTGTACATATTTTTGGTAAGTACTCCATTTCTCAACAATGTCAACCACAATGTCTACATGTAGACATTGTGATTGACATTGCGGAAAAAAACTTACCAAAAACATACAAGACCATTCAAATAAGGAGCGAGATATTATATTTGTTATTTTTAATTGGCTATCTCTCATGTCATTAATTTATTACATTCAAGTTCACGTAATTTGTTTCTGGAAGACATTTCACATATGTACCACCTACTACCTGCCTTCACTTAAGTTCACCCAATGTTCTAAAATTTCCCATGCGCTAGTCGGACGGTCAAGCACCGCCCAACGTGTCACGCCCCGGATCTACTCGGACACGTCAACAACCCGCCGTACAGTACGAATAGTCAACTGCGGTCCAACACACTCATACTATACAAGGCGTCTGAAATATATTCACATTTAGTATATTCATAAACAAACATAATGTAAAATATTCATTAAAGTAGTGGAAATAATATTACAAGTGTTCAAGCCACACTTGGCAAACTTAGGCATACAAGCCCCCAAATAATTATCGGAAAAACAATATCTATGAACATTTATATAATTGTTTTTAAAACAGGAACGGAGGAAGCACGAACCACGTCTTCTCTTCTAGACTTTCCCGAAGCAACGGGAGATGGTAACAAGCTTCAACCTGTACCTGAAACTGTGAGGTGGCCTCCCCCGTCAATGGGGGGGGGTCAGTACTTTGAAGCATTTGAAAAGTACAATGACAACTACAGTGTATGTAATCAATGTTTCAATCTCTAAGACCCTCAATCTAGGGTGATATTATATTATAGGCCATAACCCTCAGTTACCCTGTTTGAAAATATATTTACTTTATATAAAGTCAAGCAGTCGGCCCGTGGGCCCATCTTCATTTAGAAATTACCATTTTCATTCCCCGTGACCACAAGCCACGACAACCCCTTAAGGTTTCATCAAGCCCCGATTGCATAGCGAAGGCTCAGCCCAACTACATTTTCATACAATCCTTTAACTTAATTCAACACGTCACAATTGCATAGCAAGGGCTCGGCCCAAGTACGTTTCCATACAACCCATAGTTTCATGGCAAGGGCACGGCCCAACTACGTTTCCATTAAGATCACAAATACATGGCAAGGGCTCGGCCCAACTACGTTTCGATGCTAACCACAATTACATGGCAAGGGCTCGGCCCAACTACATTTCCATGTAATCCTAGAGTTCGACTCTAATTTATTATCATAGTTCGATTTTCAAGCAAATCATATGGTTAGAATCCATTTACTTGGGTAGCCTTTAAGCCAACCCCTAACATACCTTAGAGCCCATGCAATTTGACCTTAAAGTATCTCTTAAGACTACTTAAGGCATCACTGTTCACAATCCAATCTCTTAGGATTAATTCCATTATTATTCGTATTAAATTCCCGACTAGTATTTCAATAATAGTCGGAAAAATCTTAGAGCGACCAAGTTCTTAATCCATAATCAAAGAATTCATTTCAATTGATTTTCCAATCCAAATATGATTTAATCTCAATATTAAAAATATCACTTTTATCAATTCATGAAATCCTTACATGAAGTAAAAGTATATTTTATCACAATATTTCATAGTTAATTCCATCATCATGTCATCATGTTCATAACACATAATTATACACAATTTCCTCTAGATTTGTATATCATGCATCATCTATTCATACGCAATAGTATTTTCATTTAGGCATTCTTAATCATTGATAATCCATGAAAAACACATTTAAAATATCTTAGGTAATTTTATGAAATTAACTCACTAATTATAAGCAATATAGTGAGCCATCCTCACCTCGAATGAGCTTTAAGAAGTTCTACCCTTCTCGGTTGAACTCCGGCGAAACTCCGGCGAAACTCCGGTGACCACTAGGAACACCTAGTCAACCTCCTAACAAGGTTCTATCATCACAAAACCCATATCAACACAAATAACCTCTAAAAGGTTATTTTCCGGCGAACCAGTCACTTTGGCTTCTAAGTCCGTTCTTGGACTTAGAACTACCTTCCAACCCCTTGTTCTACACTTCTAAATATGTAGAACAATCATAGGGATCCGCCATATGATATATAATTCATAAGGTAGATAAGAAGTAGAAGAAAAGTTACTATAAGGTCATTACATTAATTCTTCACACTTTTCCTATCTTTTTCCTTCTTCAAACTTCTTACTTTTTCTTGTTTGAGCTTGGGCTCGAGTTTGGCTATGGAAGATGAATTTTTGCAGAGTTTCTCTCTAAAAAATTGTAAGGTTGGTCAAGCTCTTAGTTGGAGGGATGATTGAGAATGCCTTTTTGGCATTTCTCACAATAATGTGATGAATAGGTCCCACTCCATTTAATTGATTTGTCTCCCCAAGTCAATTCTTCTTTGCTTCACATGCACCTATGCGGCTCCCCTTGCTCTTTGCAAGGCTACAATGTGGGTTGGCCCCCACCCATGTGGGAGGTCATCCCAATATGTCTCAAAGTGTATACTTGGTACCGAAAGTTGTATTTCCTAGAGAGTTTTAATTATCTGTTATTTTATCGGGTCAACTTAGCACTTGGGTCGCCCAAACATTTTACCAACTCGGTTGGCCCAAATAGGAATGACCCATTAACCCATGAGGATAATCGGACGAACGTCCTAAGAGCCCCAACAGTTTGGGGACAAATACCTCAGAGTGGTCAAAGGCAGTGACGACGTTCGTCTCCTGCACCGAAATGGCAGTAAGCGGTGACGACGTACGTCTCGCCCTACTTCTGGGGACGTACGTCTCCAATCAGGCCAGCAAGGCCAAATTCGCAAGACGAACGTCTCTAAGGGCTTGGGCAACTGGAGGAGCCTTTCCCATACTTCAGGAGACGTACGTCTCCAAGGACTTGGACAGCTGGAGATGCCTTCCCCTTAACTCCTGGGACGTGCGTCTCCAACAGGCCAGCAAGGCCTATTGCAAGACGAACATCTTCAAGGACGAGATGTTGTCCCCACTGCTTCAGGGGAGGTACGTCTCCAACCGGCCACATGTCCAATTGCGAGTCGAACGTCTTCAAGGACGGGGATGCTCCCCCTGCTTCAGGGGATGTACGTCTCCAACCGGCCACAGGCCCAATTGCGAGACGAATGTCTTCAAGGACGAGGATGCTTCCCCCTGCTTCAGGGGACGTACGTCTCCAACCGGCCACGAGGCCCAATTGCAAGACGTACGTATGGAACCTTGACATTGAGAGTAAGCAGTACACATGAGACAAGATTGTGGGGATGATCGTCCCCCACTACTTTGCGCGAAAATTCAAATACATACTGCATTTTAAATTCAAGTACATCCGGGTGCGGTGTCACACAGCGCCTAGGCGGATTAGGCGATTAGTCACCGACTAGGCGGCCAACTCGGTTTCAACATAATATCAAAAAATAAAATATCCTTGACAAAAAATACTACTTTAAACAAATAAAGTTTGATTGCATAATCTCTATTTAAAGCATAATCTCATTGCACACTAGCATTAAAAGAAGAATCTTTACTCTGTGTTGGAAAAGTCTTTTCAAATTAATGCAAAAAAGGCTATGTTTATTAGTTTTTGGAATCTGTATGGAAAAGGAGATAATAAAAACGGAAATAAATATAGAACTCTATAATAGCACAAACAAAAGCTACGGAGAAAATATCTAGCAGAAGAAATATAACTACCCCCATTGGAAATATGATAAAACGGAAATAAATATTAGTGTTATGTCATTTATCTTAGGGTATGTTTGACACAACCAGCTGAAAATATACTTTTATGAGCTTTTTAATAATTGTTAGCTTTTAGGTATTGTTTGGCATAACTAACTGAAAAGATACTTTTATGAGCTTTTTAATAACTGTTAGCTTTTAGTGACTGAAAAGATCTTAAAAAGAAAAGACAGTAGTTGTTTGGTAAAAAGCTAACTGTTTGATTTAGCTTTGTTTGGTATACAAGCTGTTAGGACTAATTAATACTAGAAGCTACGGACTTATCTTAGATGCTACTCACTGTACCATCTCAAAAAAGATCTTTTATTTTTATAAAAACTCTTAAAAGTTGGTGTGACAAACATACACCTAGAAGCTTTTAAAGACTTTTTAAATAATACAGAAGCTAGAAGGCAGGGACTTATGTCCGCCAAACATAGCCTTAGTGCTTGAAAAGACCTTAAAAAGAAAAGGTGGTAGCTGTTTGGTAAAAAGCTGACTGTTTGATTTAGTTCGGTTTGGTATACAAACTGTTAGGATTAATTAGTCCTAAAAGTCACGGGCTTTTCTCAGATGCTACTCCCAGTAACATCACTAAAAAGATCTTTTAATTTTTGAAAATCTCTTAAGAATTGTCATGCCAAACATACAACTAGAAGCTTTTAGAGACTTTTGAACAATACAAAAGCTAGAAAACAAAGACTTATGTCTGCCAAACATAGCCTTAGAAACCAAATAATTATAGAGATTCTTCCTATACTCAGCAAGATCCATTACTCTATGTACAAGTTGCTTGACATTGAATTTATATAAGAGTTTATTTGATTTAGACAAAATTTAACTTTTATTCAGGTCAACTAAATGAAAACAGCTTGATGGAGTATATGGGACTAGGCCCCAGGACCCTCATACTCAGAAGAACAGAAAGCACAAAGCCACTACGCGGTGCCCTCGTCAGCCAAAGGACCCTCGTCGGCCGAAGAGGGGCCGACTCAGAATATGACCCTGAAGCAAGGGAACCAGGGCGTCCTCATCGGCCGTGCCCTCGTCGGCCAGACCCTCGTCGGCCACGGAGGACTCGCAGAACTAGATTTTACACTTATTCAATTATATAGCCCATCAGTTACTT